AGTTCAATTTGAGCTGATTACAATGAAAAATCTTTACTGCGTAAGGAGAAAATTTTTAACGTTCCATTTTTTAGCCAGTGACAATAAGTGATTGAATTTTTCAACAATAATCGAGCAACCAAATTCTTGAGTATTTTTGCAAACAATATCAAATGCGTAAGATCGCAGATTATTTAATCTCTCTGTTCCCTCAATAAATTATTAAAAATTAAGGATATTAATTACTTCCCTGTATTTCAAATTTTACCTATAATGATCAAAATTTTGAATAACTACTTTTGATGTTGATACTTGATATTGTTGGTGAATTATTCGATATTGATTAAATACTGTTATGTACTCACGGATGAAAAGATATCTTCTCATGCGTCTTGTTTGTTTTACCGCAGTAAACACACTGCATTTTTCTCAACGAAGAAAATATACTTTTGTCAACCGAACACTTTTAAAAAATTACCGAGTCGTCACGTGAACTAAATTGTTATGGCGTCGTTTTTCCAACGTCATTTACCGTCTGTATCACCCTCCATTGGGTGACGCGCATGCGCAGTCAAGGGCACTGTAGTACTCGAGCTACTATTCTGAGGCGCTGCTTGTCCTACAATACTGCCTCAGTGTCGGCGTAGTGGGGGCATAGGGATAGTCCATCCAGTTATATAGAGATCAGTGGTTGTAACTGATCAGAGGGAACAATGGAAACATTTAGGCTGTTTATCACGGAACAGCCCAACACGTGGACCAACTCCATAGACAAAGGGCCTTGTGGGTAGAGCTAACACCCTGGACGAATTGGTGAGCGAGGACACTTGGAGACGAACTCTCGAGCAAGCAACATTAAACATACCACAACCAACCCAGCTTATATTATATCGAGTCTTTAACCAAAGTTTAATTGTCAACAATAAATGAACAATCGAGTCAAATAATTAAATAATCGTAAAATATTGTCTCTCCTACATATGGGTATTTCTGGCAACTTCTATCTAGCAATTTCTTTCTAATCGTTTGAGAAAATGCGAAACTTGAAATTTTGGTAATACTTATAAACGTGGTCTACGAAAATGGTTCAAGTTTCGTGTAGTGGAGAGAGAGAGCAGAGGTTAGTAACCAAGGTGGGTGGTCCTTCGTACGGGGTCTGCGGGGCATACGGGACCTGCCGCTCCTCTCCATTCTCCAGTCTCTTCATTGCTTTTCTTCTTCTATTCCTAGTGGCTTTGTCCTCTCACTTTCGCAATGTGAGATAATGTGAAGATCAATGAGTGCGAGAGAGCAATAATCTCACCCTCCGCTCCATTTCCTCCTTCTCCAGTTATCCTTTCGCACTCTTATTCACTGGTGTGTCGTCTTCTTGCACTACGTGTGTGGCCAACACCACTGTTCATCCTTCTCCCATACACATGTCCATCTCCAACTTGCCGATAGCCTCCTCTGATTCCCACCGTCAAACTTACTCTCTCTCTCTTTCTCGTAATTTCTCTATCTTCTACAGAAAAGCTTAACCTTTTTCCTCGTTCTCTCTTCTTTCTCCACTCACGTGAAACCTGCACCATATCTCAGTCTCCCTAACAAACCAAATCAGACTAAAAACTATTTTTTACACACTTTTACTGCATAACTTTTATGAAACCAAGAGAAAATAGACGAATATCGTGTTGGTAGACATGGTACTGAAACAAAACCGCACACTGTCTTTACTTCTCTACATACGTTAGCCACTTTTTTGCCTTGTTTTTTGTCACGTCATCCATAAATCGCTCTATAGTCTCAGTCTGCGGATATAATCACTAATAACACTGCTCGTCACAGGGTGTTCAAAGGGATTTTCCATACTGTTTCTCACAATTTCTCACGATTTGAGAATCGGTTCTACATACATGCCAAACTCGAACACTTGAATATTACTACGGAAAAATTATATCCAAACTGTTGAGATAGATTTTTTTACTCTAACCCTATTGAACTAACCGAATTCTAACCAGGTCTAGGTCGGTAAAGAACAAGGTTAGGTCGGGCTAAGTGATTGTTAAATAGTAATTCAGGCGAGTACATAATAATAGGCGAACCCTATTTTCCATTATTTTGCTAAATAGAGAATTAATAGTTTCAATTAACAGACGACTTGCTATTCATTTTTTTTGTAATTTCTTCTCATTTTTTAATTTTCTTGCATTGTTGAATGAATTATGGAATTGAAAAGGAAAGACGGAAAAGTCAAAGTCACCCTACAAAGTGAGCTATAAATTTTCAGGAACAACACTGAATAAGTGTTCACCATTTTCGCTTACTACTGTCTCCTTAGCGCACAGAAAGAAGAATTCAGATTATTGCATTTCCTTAAATTCTATTAAAATGATTGAACTGATCATTGTTGTATAACCATTATTTTTAATATTTTGTTTAACATATACTGAGTAATTTCCCACCATCTGGTAACAACGCTATACATCCTTATTCCATTTTCCCACTTTTTCCATTCCTAGAAATGCATCAAATTGTTTTATTTTAGAGGAGGGCAGCCTCAGCTCTCGGAGCTACTCCGGCTTCCGCTCTCCATTAGACAAAATTGTCCCAAGCCAGAAAGGTTATGGCAGACTCCCCTTCGGGCTCATGATTTCCTGCGTGTAGGCGAAAGGAGTGGGAATATTCGGTAGAATCTTGGTGTTAAGAAAAGTAAAAGAGGAAAATTTTCAATGTCTAATGCAAAGATTTTCTTTAATTGTTACATTTTTTATTGTTATTTTTTTGATTGATTATTGGTGCTTTTCAATCGACTTTGCGAAAAGCAAAATTCGTACCTTCCATAGATTTCTAGAACAGGGAATATTGTTTGGAAAATAATGATTAATTATTATCTTCTTGTTAATAGACTTGACTCAGAATGCATTTTAAAACTTTCCGTGGCTATTATTCTCGCCTTCGATGCCAAATTGAAATGCACAAACTTCTCAGAATGAAAAGCATTATCAGCGTCCTTTAATGTTTGAATATATGGCAACCCTTGTAATAACGTTAGGTCCCTCATAACTGTAACCTTAATACTTTTTTGGCTGCATCTCCGAGCTTTCTTGCGGTTGCCCACCTCTGACCTAGACGTCCTTTTTGACCTGATAAAACCTGGAGGCCATACCCTTTCTATCAACCCTTTCATCAATCACCTACCTTGGGCCTTTCTCCTTCTATTTTCTTTCTACCCCTACTGATTGCACACCACAACCTCAACTCTGGACTTTATAAAATCTAACAGATTAGAGTAAATCGAACGCTTTAAGTAAGAACAACAACCAGGAAGATATCCACAAGTAGTAACTCTGTTCTCCGTCTCAATATAATTATTATAATAAGGATTTGGAAAACATAAGGTTTGAAGTTTCTTCTTATTTTACCTGAATCCAATAATTTGCATGCTTTCTTTGTTCATTGAAATACATGGCTTAATGAGCAATCTTGGAAACGAAAAATGAGTTACAAAAACTCTAAATTTTTAAATTCAGTTGCTTGAGAATATCCATGTGTTTTGACGCCAATCAGATATCCCTTTTTGTTCCAAATGAGTCGATTCAGAAGTAATAGTCGTTTTTTAATTTCCCTAAGCTTGGAAACCCACCTTTCACAACAATTTCTTCCTAATCTGCCTATTCACATAGTTTTAGTATACATTATACAGGAACACTTAATGCCATAAATTGTCAGTATTGTATACCCATTATTCGGTATGTAGAAATTCGTGTATGTGCTCCGTGAATTTCACAAGTATCAATTATTGACGTTTTCATTAATGCCTAGAAACGTCTTTTGAAAATTTCAGTGCAAATACTACGAAATAAATACTCCCAATTAAATACCCTCCAATTCTCCAAAACCCCGACAAGTGATTTCCGCAATCGGTTGATTGCCTCCTCGCGACTTTCTCCAATACCTCGTGCCTAGAAAGTTGGAGGAGTTGGGAAAGTCCCAACTCCCCCAACTCTCTACCCACTCCATAAACTCTCTTACTCTTTTCCCTGCAAACTGCAACCCTTTAGAACAATCTTTCACTTCAACTGACCAAAACTTCCAAAATTTCTCCTTCCACTTTCTTCAACCCCTACCATGCACTCTCAAGAGGACCTCTACTAGAAACTCTTAGTGAGTAAACCATTCATGATTAATGGAGACTAGGAGGTAACCAACAGTCAGGAAGATTACCAGAATATTATAGTACTTGTATCAAATCTCAGAATAAAGATTTCGTGTTAATTTGAAGCAAACCATTCCTTCGATCCGGAATCCAACACCTGGCTCCTGTTGGAAAAATGCTAAATTCAAATTTATTTACCTAAGAATTGACGCCAAGGTCGTCTGACTATTAGTTTTGGTGTCTGAAAACACAAAAACCGACGGGAATGAACGCCTAATGGGTGCAGAAGAATATTAAGGACGTGAGAGTACACACATGCAGTAACAGGCCTTCAGAAGAGTAGGGAAAAAGAGTGAAGGGCGGAGGGCATGTATATATCGGTGGCCAACGTGTGTGGCCAAGAAGCATGCATCCGTGTAGTTGGATCCACAATAACAGCTAATACTCAATGGAAGCCTTCACAGCTAACACTCGTCATTTTCTTATGAGATATCAATCAAAATTTCCAATAAATGAAAAAAAATCTGTATTCCCCATTATTACTACTCAGGTCTTTTTATCGAAAATTTCTACTAATTTTCATTAATATTTTGCAGGTATATTAAATGTATTTACACGTCTCATATTCAGCTATTCAATCACTCAAATACATATCATAAATTAATCAAGTATTATAACTATTAATAATAAACTCTATGATACAGCTAATATACAATGCAGACTCAATTATCTGAGAGTTTTTCAATGGCTTTTGGACAAAAGAAATGAATCAATAGAAAACCATGAAACGTTTCAAGTCGAGGTATATAAAAAATAGTCTCGATCATGAGAGGTTTACGATAAAATAACACAAAAGGTTTTTTCTGAAAAAATTTCCAAGCAATTGAAGAGGTCTTGTGACTTTTTTTTATGTTCTCATGAGACAATTACATTATTAATCGACAAGGAAGAATATTTTTGTTATCTATGAAATTATCAGTCTTATGATTGAAATTGAGGGAAAGTTTGAAAAAATATTATTGTGAAGAAGTTTAGGTAAACCCTCATCCTCGGAGTAATGAAATAGTGGAAACATCTCATTCATGAAAAATTTTGTTACCTATGAAAAATATCGTCATCTTTTTGCTTAACGTAGCCTGTTTCCAAGATAAATGAAGATAGTTATAAAAAAATTGAGTGTAGCGATTAACGTTTTTTCCATTTTCCGTTCATTTTCTGACAGACGTAAATCTTTTTATGATTTGATCGTTGCAACTACTGTCTTTGTTATTCGGCGAAGAACACATAAACGTTTAAATTTTATGCGGAACCAGAAAAGTAAACAAAAAAAATGAAGAAAAAAGAAATATATTGAACAATTGCATTCGTTCATTTTGCACCAAATGGTAAGCATTTAGGGTCTTTGGTCGTTGACATGCGGAATACTGTTTTTGAATTCTGCTAGGCTACGGCTTCCTCATCAGTCTGTAAAAATAATGAAATGAACATTAAAGAAGATGTTTAAAAGACGATTTTTAAAAAAAGTCAAATCAAAAAATTATTTGTACAACCAACAATTTCGGAAAAAAAATTTTTTCAACAATCTTCTATATTTCCTGCACATGAGAATAGACAAGTAAAAATATCTCAAAAACGCGTAGGATATTGCCCATTAGCCACTATGATAGGCATATTTTGCACATTAAAGCTGGGAAATTTGGATAAGGTGTAACACACAAACAGCCATAATTTAAAAATTTTATGTAATAAAAAAGGCATTGTTTCATAAGCGCGGAGTAGCTCGAAGAATGCTCCAGTGACAGACTGGTAGAGATATGCGCCCCCGCCCTAGAAAGGCGTGACACTAAATTAAAAATTTGAATAGTACGAAATGTATGGGCAATGGATGGGGAAGTTAGCAGTGAAAACAGAAAACTTGGTCTGTGGAAAAGAGCAATATTTGTAAAAAACTGTTGGTTCCGTCAAGTGTATTAAATAATAGGCGGAAAAATAAATATCTGCCTGAGAAACAATATTTACATAGTTTATTTCTTGAGTTATAGATTTGACATTATGTTCCGCCCTAATCATTTCCAGAACTGACATAAGATCATAGAAAATTAAGAGCTCCAGCCGACAGTAGTGGCGGTGCGGTTAGACTGCTGTATACAGTAGTATACTGCTGTATAGTACATACGAGATCTACTGCGCACTCCGTGCGCAGCATTTGAATTTTGACTTCGGATTCGAGTTGACCAATAGGGAATCAGCCTTACGAGCTTCGACTCAGGCGAACTTCATTTACCTATCTCTGCTTTCATGATAAGGACTAGCATGCCAATAATCCGGGTTCGATAACGGGCACCGGTGGTCAAAATTGACAGCGCTCCAATCTCACAGTTTCACTGCCGAGCGGTAGTTTTGTCAACAGGACGGGTGTACCAGGGAAGGTTTTTTTTACCTCAAATGAAGTTTTTCCCTCCCTTCGGGAAATGCGTCACAGGGGGTTGGAGGGTGGGAAGGGAACGAATCGTAAAGACCCGCAAGGGTATACGAGTGAAAAAGTTAATAAGAGCTGCATAACTAAACATGCCTTATTCAATGGTGTTCTGATTATTAGGACATTTAACCACCCAAATGAGAAACGGTGTCGGAAAATGAAATTAAAAAATTGAAAGAAATGATTTACGATATAAATTATTTTTTTATCAATTCATATACTTGCACCAGTGGCATACCTTTCAGTTCGAATTATGTAAAAATATGGAAAATGTCTATAAACTGTGCCGTATGGCTGACTACCAAGGTAAGAGCAACGTTGTCAATATTTTATAAACGGAATCTTCTAAAAAATCAATCACGAATTTCTTGCGTATTGTATCGAATACCGTAATTGTAAAAATATTCCCCATATTGGCAAAAAAATCAGTGGATTTTTTTCATGATGTCAAGTGCGTACCCTAGTGCCCTTTTCAATCAAAGCTAACGGGGCCACGTTTTCCCATAAGACTGGGTTACAGACAGGTGTTTTCACTAATTATTACTCGCCAAAATGGATGGATCGGGGAATCGAAAATGTGGCTTGCGTATGGTTCATACTCTCAGCTATTTTACAAAAAAAATGTAGACTGTATTGAATATTGTCAGTATCGGTTAAAAAACCTTAAGAATACCGCTGACTTCATTATCTCCAAGTGCGCGAAGCAGATAATAAATAGTAGCATGAGAACACCATTTCCAATACATTTCGACAATGTCGTTTTGTTAAAGTACGTAACTATTACAACTTCTTAATTAATACTAAAAATTTTTATGAATCTAATGATATTTGACTCGTGCAAAAAGGTAATCTGTCCAAACATCGTTCAATAGTCAGACAAGTTTGCTACAACAGATTCGTATTAGTTCCTCTATTATTCAATTCTTTTGGTGGAGCATAAAGTTCTAAAAATATTTAGCATTTCCCACAAACGAATTTTATCACTTGACTGCTAAATTCTTTATGCCATCGGTGCCCGTAATCACGCGATTCTAACCTCGCTTCGCTCGGTTAAATCGCGGATTCCGGGCACAATGACATAAAATTTTGTATGAAACGCGTGCGTAATATATTTTTCGACTCGTGGGATTGTAAAACTCGCCTTCGGCTCGTGTTACAAACCTCCCACGAGTAAAAAAATATATTACGCACGTGTTGCATAATATACTATAACTTATTGGCTATGGACTTCATGCTATTCAAATTTTGGATAAGGGTCATGTCGTTGCAGGAGACATATGCTCATTTTTGCCGTTCTGTGACTCTCAATTTATGGGAGTTACCCAGCGCTGGTCAAACGTATACCCATAAAATGCCAAGGTTAATTTAATGACAGACCTAACCTCACTTCGCTCAGATAAAAACGCATTTTCGGCTACAATGACATAAAATAGCATCATAGCCACGGCAAAAAAGTCATTCTGACTCATGCGCGTTACTCGACTTCGGCTCGGACTATAAGCGGCATTCCTGAAATTCACTTTTCCCGTTCTAGGCGTGAAAAATACTATTACGGAACTGATAGGAGGGGACAATTAACACAAACCATTTTTTCTGTTGTCGTGTTAATTTCATTGACTACAAGCGATCACGAGATTGTGCAGCGTTACTTTAACGAACATTGAAATTAAGAATCAAGCACGAGTAAAAATTTAATTATAACATATAATATTTATGATATTATATAAAATCAATGAATTTATGGTTAATGAATTAAGGAGACCGTCATCAAATATATTGCGGATATATGCACGTATATTATCAAGATATATTTGCATATACAATTTTTGTCTGAATGTACGTTACATTTGAATAGACCAATTTAAAAAAATGGAAGCGTCACATCTGCAACGTTAAAAAAACATCCTGTCACTATTCGAGGTTTTCGATTTGTATCATTATTTAAGAATATATGCAAAGTTTCTTCTTTGAGAAAAATTTAACCGAGGATATTTGCAGAAGAGATTTGTGAATTAAAAAAAAAACAAAAACTGAACTTTGTATTGCAACGAGAATCTGACATGAGCAATGCTTGATAAAATTTTTCTATGCTTCATTTGAAAAAAACGTGAAAATCTCAAAAACGAGTATTTTCCACAGCGCATATCCCCGAAAAAAACAAAGGTATCTCCATAAAAAAAACATTTTGATATTTTTTTCGAATTATCATGTGATGTATGATTTTGTATGATGTATGAATTGGATATTAAAAACGGAAAACTCAAGTAGTTACATGAAGATTCTTCAATTTTTCAGATGTGATGTTCTTTTTTTCCCAACTGCATTATTCAAATGTATTGTACATTGTGACGAAGATGGATTGTTTCACAGCGGCTAAAATTCCGAGTGATTGAATAAAATCAAATCGAATGGAATCACAGTACGATTTTGTGTAGTTTTCACAGTGACTATATTTTTTTTTCAAATAAATCAATCCCGATGCGGAATATCCCATGTTGAAGGTTTTTTCGTGTTAATTGCCATAAAAACCACCCTCTTATCCACATATTTTTATATTCAGCCATCATCACAATTTATTCTTTTTCAACAAAACAAAAATTGAAAAATTCCAATCGCACAATTTTCTTACAAGATATCCATTGGTAAGTCTTCATTTCAGCAAACTTCAGGGTTATAAATTCGTGATAAAATAGCTTAAGCTTCAATAGTATTGATGCAAAAAATAATCCACCACTAATGCGTGTCTGCCCGTCTCCACTTTCCTTCTTTTTTCTCTATATTTTGAATTCCAATTCATAATATTACCAATAAAAGGTAATATGGAAATCAAATTATCTGATCAACTTTTTCTTTTGTTTCAGGATCCTGACGTGAAAAAAAGCATGCATATATAAAATATTTGTTAGTTATGTGAATATGTGAACATTTTTATATCAAAGCAAAAAAATGGGTTATTATTGAGAGTTATGTGTACATTTTCATATCAAAGCGAATAAATGTATTAATATTGAGAGGTGTATTAAAATGTGCATACCAATGTGATAAAAATGTGCTATCAATAAAAAAGTGTAAATAACTAAATCATCAAAAGTTAATAAAAATATTATCGTTAATCAGAAACTTTTGTTTCAAAATTTGTAATATCACTGAAAAAGAAGAAATAAAGCACGGAAACCCCGAATTATGACTTGTATTGTTACATTGAATGCCCTCTCCTCTACGACTCCACGAGAAGCCTCCTCAATCGTCGAATATTCCCAGCCATCCTGGACGCGAGGTGCCTTTGCAAGTAGCAAACTCTGTTGTGTCAAACATATCAGAAAGTATGTCAAGAAAACGTCATATCAAACGTCATGTCAAGAAAATCTCATAAATTATCATTACAAAATAATGATGGAGAATTGATTATTTCTAATACATTTGTTGGAAATTCCATTGCTTTAATATCTGAAAAATTGTCTCGACTAAAACGTCCAGTAGACACGGCCGAAAATTCTTCTAAAAATGTATTATCACAACAGGCTAAAGTTTTACGAATTTGACAACTCCAAATGTATTGCTTGAGAAACGTATAGATGTATGTAAAACAGTATCTCATTCAACATTTAGTAAATCTAATAATTCTTAAAAGATGTATCGGGAAATTCTCTCAGTTGATGAAATTTTTAGTCGTTTCAATTTAAAATTACGTGGATTGACAAAAATGCAGTGTTCTACTCATACTGTTGCAAATTTTTCTCCAAGTTCAACTGATTCTCCTCAGAAATCACAGTATTTTAAACCATCGGACTTATTAATGAATGTTGAAATTAATAATAATTCACAATTATGGAAAAATCGGATTTTTTCCTTAACAACAAAATCAATCAAAACCCCACTAATCATGATTCTGAGGCTGTATATAGTATTAATAATTCCTCAAATCACTCCAATGTTCTTAACAATCCAAGTAGAAAGAGTAAAACGAACTCTAGCATTTTACAAA